ACAAAAGAATCCCAAATGGGCTTTCTGTATTCAATTTTATCTTTCTTCAACTCATTTTTAATACTGAACTAAAATTACAGTATGGCTATAAAGAAATACTCAAATAAAAATGATTCATTTTCCCATTAGCTAGAAATAACTTTGTTCTTAGATATTTTCTTCACAGGTTTTAATATAGCTGAAGTCATAAAGCTCTTACATAATTTTCACCCTTATTGTTTTACCCTTATGGTAATTTATATACCATAAAAATATTTTCAAAAGCATTACTTTTATTACTAAGTTATGTTGGATTTTTAGGTAGTTTTAAATTTTTTTCAGGATTATAAATTTTATAATCATGTATTTCTCTACATTTCCAGGGCACAGTGTCACAGATAAGAAATTACTGTATCAAAGACTATATAGTATATATATTTTGAGGTGTTTGATTCCTCTTTTGAAATAACTTTTTAAAAGATGGTAGAATTTACTTTCTCATGTGCAATATTTAAGGAGAATCGCTCTCACTACAATTTTAAGGGCATGGGCATTATTTGTTTTACCTTTCAAATCTGATGAACAAAATGGAATATCCTGATTACTCTACTTGGTAGTTTTGATGACCAGGATTGTTGAAATTTTATATTAATATTTCTCAATATCCACCAACTTGCATATGCACAAGGGTGTGCCCCTTATATGGTAATTTTATTTATCTTTCTGGGTCTGTCCCTAGGGTTTATATTTCTATGAATGTAATCACGATGTCTGATTTGGTTGAGAACTCCACCCTGGGTTTGAACTTAGGCTCAGATGTTCTAGAAAAATGCTTCACCAAGAATCAGATTTCCCAACACCACTCAATGGATCCAGATCTATTTAGGCTTCTCTGATCTCAGATAAGAGTAGCATTAATTCTGAATGTGTTCTAAAAAGCTATCCTTGTGTTATATAAAACCATTGAAAGGGGCAGCCTGAGTTTATTAAGTAATTATTCCCCAAGGAGGTGGCAGCCAATGCCGAGTGAGAGGATGAGATCACTCTTATTTACTATCTGGCCTTTTGGATCAGCTCACTCTGTTCCTTTAAGGGGCAATAGAATAATGAACTGGAGCATCCTGAAAGACTTCATTTTATAACCATATGTCCTTGTGTTTATTACTAAGTATGAGATCAGAAGGCCATATGGACTGACTTGGGGATGGTATTTTAAGGAATTATTAAAATGATTCATAGTAAGTGCAATGGATAAACACAGAGAGATGAAAACTGGGATCATTAATAATCTGACAATGTTTTAGAGCTACAGTTGACAGTACACATTGAAGAAGCAAAAAGTGTCTTAAAATCCCAAGAGACACGGTATCAGCAAATAAACAAATGACAATGACAAAAGATCCATGGCTTTCAACAGATTCCCCCAAAGAACAGAGTTGTCCTAATTCAATACCATTAGACTAGAAAGAATAATTATTAGCATTGCCACCTCAACCCAGTGCTAGCCTAACAACTCTACCCTACATTTGTAACACCTCATTAAGCCAGCGTTGACAATGTCTAACCCTTTTCCAGCTGCAGGAACCCTGCTGGATGCTCCCCCCCAGAAAAGATTCTCACATTCCACCCACCCCCAACACAGGAGCAAGAGATTAAAACACAACAGCCACTCTTTTCAACAACACTTTGGAGCTGTATTCTGGACTGTTCTCTGACCTCCATCCTGACCCACCAAACCATTCTCAATGGTAAATTGATAGTAAATGGTAAATACTCATTTATTTATTTATTTATTTATTTATTATTATTATTATTTTTTATCACATCAGCCAGTTCTTTATTTGACAAGTAAGGGCCTTTTCATACGAGTCAAGGAAGAGGCAGCTTCCTAGTTACACACATATGAAAAAAAAATCCCAGCAGTATTAAGAAGAATAATGAAAAAGTACCTACAGATCTTTCCTGTCTGCAGGTCATAGTCAAAGGCATCCACGGAGTAGGACAGGCTGTCAATGTAATAGAAGATTTTGTGGTCCAGGGACCAATCCAAACCATTGGAGATGTCCACCTGGTCAAAATACTTTTCCACGTGGTGGTCAGGAAAGAGGGAGTACAAGGACCCCTGGTGCCGCTCCAGAACCGCGGGGGCCGTCTCCTCGGCCACGGTGCCAGCAAAGTATCTCCCAGCGGGATCCACCTTCCCATCATTGAACCGATTGCTTTTCTTGTCTTTATCTACTGTGGCCAGGGCTACTGCTGACTGATCCTCCCAGTTCAAAGAACAGAACTTTGTTCCAATGGTGGCAACATAGCCTCCTCCCTGGCGAAGGGCCACAGAGCTGACGGCGGCATCCACAGTCACTTGCTGCACGCGCTTGCTGAGCAAATCCCACCGGCAAACCTCTTTTGCAGGAAGGTCTACAAAGAGCAGCGAGTTGGACGCCTCCGCCCACACCGGAGACTCCCCACGCCAGCAGTTCTCTCGCAAAACACACTCGATCTTAATGGAAGACATTGTCAACGGGGAGCTCTCTTGGTGTCGGTGACCCTCGGAGAGCTGGCTTCATCATTTATTTTTATCACATAATACCTTCTATTAATTAGTATATATAATGCACTAAGCAATATGATAAGCATTTTTCAAAAAGCATAAATATATCCTTATAACCCATAAAGTAGATTCTATTATAACAATTATTATTACTAGCTATCATTTATTGCATGACTTTTTCCAGACACTGAGTTGAATGTTATAATACTTATAATTTTCTCAATAACTCAACATGATAGATATTAAAGTCATTTCATAAATAATGAAATTGAGATTCAAAGAGGTTAATTAAATTATATGTGAAGCACTTACTACACTGGTTGATGCCTAGAAAATGCCCAGTAATAGCACCTACTTTATTAACATTATATATTTTATTATTGATATTAATTTTGATGTCTTAGGACATGTTTCCTTCCCTTGTAAGGTATATCATATACAAAAAAAATGTTTGTATCTGTGTGCTCATCTTATTAATAATGCTAATATTATTAATGTTAATAATATATTTTTAAAATTTTATTATGTTATGTTAATCACCATACATGACATCATTAGTTTTTGATGTAGTGTTCCATGAGTCATTGTTTGTGCATAACACCCAGTGCTCCATGCAGTACGTGCCCTCTTTAATACCCGTCACCAGGCTAACCCATCCCCCCACCGCCCTCCCCTCTAGAACCCTCAGTTTGCTTCTCAGAGTCCATAGTCTTTCATTGTTTGTCTCCCCCTCCGATTCCCCCCCTTCATTCTTCCCTTCCTGCTATCTTCTTTTTTTTATAATCTTAAATAATATCTTTAATAAATGATAGTAATAATACCAATACTATTACTATGTATTTGTAAGATATTACATAGTACATTAATAATATATTCTACATTAATACTATATGGTATACTGAAAATACTACCACTGCTAATACCATTATAAACTATAATAATATTAATACTATTAATAAAACAGCTTAGCTTTATTGAGCACCTACAGTGTGCCAAACAGTGAGCTAAGGCCTTGTTACGATGTACCTTACTTTAACCTTAAAAAATTCTGTACAACAAATTCTTCTGTTACTTCTCGACTTTCAGATGAAGAAATCAAGGGTAAGAAAGATGAATTAAGTTGTCCAAAGTTGCACAACTTATATAACGAGGACCAGAATCTGAATTTAGTCTATCTAACTTAAAAGCTCTAGTTCTTAATCACTGTGCATTTGAGAATTAAAAAGCATTTAGAAATAATTTTGTATTTAAATCCTTATTCTACATATGAATAAATGATGAAGGAAATAAATTGCCCATGATCACACAGCATTTATTGGCCTAGCTGAAACTTGGTGCTGCTAATAGTCTTATTGTTTGCTTATTATGCACAGCCACTGTGCGAACATTATCTTATTTAAAACCCCCAAATTCATGTAAGTTAGGTTCCTATATAATCCCCTTTTTACCTTAAAAGGAAACTGAGATTCAGAGAGGTTAAGCTACTTGCCCAAGTCCAAGGCCACAAGAGAAGCTGGGGTCTGGACACCGGTAGCCAGGCTCCTGAACCTTTGCCTTTAACCACTATTAACTTCCTGAGTCAGCCATCTCTCAATGCAGCACCCTTTCCAGGTCATCATGATGGTTTCTATTTCCTCCCCAGGAGCAATATTGTGTGTGCAGGAGCCCCATCAGACCAACTTGCGAGAGCCAATTGTGAAATTTTCAGGATTTTTGTGAGCTAGTGGTCAAACATTGTCATTATTAAAGGTAAAACATAGTCCAGTTAAATAAATTATCCTAAAAATAATACCTTTATTTTGTAGTTTTGTGATCCATTTTATTTGTAATACTATTAATAATAAAATTTTAAAAGTCTAAAAATACCAAAAATATTACTACTGTTAATACTATATGCTTACTATGCTATATTGTATCACTACATTTCCAACTCCTGATTATTTTACTACATTTCACTATTCCCTAGGCTCTTGAGATTATGTGTGTCCATTCTATCTGCATGTGGGAATACTATATAATGGTATGCTACCAAACATCTTTTTTTTTTTTAAAGATTTTATTTATTTATTTGACAGAGAGAGACACAGCAAGAGAGGGAACACAAGCAGGGGGAGTGGGAGAGGGAGAA